TGCTGGATCGGCAAGACAGTCCACGAATCGCATCGATCTTGACAGAAGGCCATACATTTGGTCTTAGCACAACGTGTGCACCAGTTCCCATGGTTAATTAGTACCCACCTTGCTGACAAATACCCATGCCATGCATTCCAACAATTTATTAGCCGAACCACCTAGAGTACCGTGGGTGTGACCCACGCGATGGAAAAATATTCCACTCAGTTGCAATCCTTTGTGCAGCAGAATCCAACTCAGCCATTTCATCATCGTTTGATTTTTCGATTCCCGGACTGTATTATCAGCCTGGGGCGTTGCCACACAGTCATGAGTCATGGGTCATGGGTCATGAACAGTGACCATGAAGCTTCAAACTAAAGTAGATGCGAGAAATACGGTCCTGCAGGCGCTGGTGGACGTGCTCCAAACTGCGGCAAATAGCCTCCAGGACCATGGTAGCATCACTGCCCTGACGCACTTCAACTACATGGAGACAAAGGCAAACTCCATGCGCCCAAGTCCCTTGAAGTTTGATTCGCGGTCTCTCCAGTTTCTGGAGAGCTTTTGTTTGAACACCATGCCGCAGCCGGGGCAGCGCCCACTTCGATTGGTCCATTCCATCCTAAATCAAAAAAATGGTGGAGGCACCAAAATGTACCAAACTCATCAATCATCACAATCCGGTTTTTTCTCTGCAATTTCCTGCGTTCGCCACCCACTCCACAGCCAAGCCGCAACGGTCAAAAGCAAAGTGTCTTCGCTTTCTCCGCTGATGCCCTGACACTTCCCACATGGGAGAGGGAGGACTGACAAGAGAATGACATCATTACTTCTCTTGGGTCACAGTCATGCGGAGCTCCAGCCTCAAGGTAAGATTCAAGCCGCCGGTCAGATCCCACAGCATCAAGATGCTCCTTGTAATTCTTGGCAATCATGAACTTGTCCACTGCATCCTTGAGCAAGAGCAGGTTGGGCATGGGTGTAGGTGGTGCTTGGGGCAACATGTTGTTACAGAAAAGGTTCATTGCAATCTTCGAAAGCTGTTTTGTAGCACTGACAGTCGTCACAAACTCCAAAGCCACTTGGCATCGAAAAACGTAAAATATTGCACCATTTGGTCTTGTACCTTTTGGCGAAGTGGCCATACCTGAGTTTCTCCTAAGCGACGGTCATTCAATGACCAACAACTAAGTGAAAAGTTGTCGCTAAGAAACGACACTTGGAAGCCACAGTGTGAATACAGAAGTTTCATATTCCCCGGTGGCATGTAGCGTGTGGGTAGGTCGCGTGGATTGTCTGCCCAATTGGAATCCACAATCCTTGGCTCCACAAGCTTGTCAATTTGGTTCTTGGTGGTGGGTACTGCATGAAGCGTCAAATGGCCACTAAGATGGGTTCTGTGTCCACAGAGACTTGTACCCCAAAATGTGCAGTTGCAACTCCAAGTCTGTCTCCATCTGCTCAGCTGGCGCCTCCCATGCAGGCTCAGGTTCCACGTCAAACTCTTCACCTTCATCAGATCCTAAGCAGAACCAGATGCAGAGTGCTGTCAGCACAACGCTGTCAGTGCACACAACCCTTAGTCAGCTGAAACTCCGAGCTCATCGTCTCTACGCTTCCCTGGTGTGTGAGTGAAGTTGATCTGCAGTTTCTCCTGGTTCTGCGGTCCTGGTTCATGGGCCCGACCAGCACGTTTGAACCTCGGAACTTCAATGGGGTGAGACTCCACTGAATCTGGACACGCACTGCAAATCAATGCTTTAATCAAGCGACCTGTCTGGCAGCATGCCTGCTGCATTGATGTACAGATCCAAGAAGTATTTGTCAAGTTTCCTGTTCTTCAGTGGATTCCTTTTGCGAACCTTGACTGAACCAGTAACGACGCCGGGTTCATGTGACTAGCCACATCTCTCCATGCTCTTCATACCAACCACAACTTGACAACATAATGCAGGATTAGGGGCTGAGCCAAAACAAGCAAACCGCCGATCAAAGCGCCCAGACTGGGCAAAGTCAAAGCGACCAGACCGGATCCCAAGGACAGAAGCCAAGCACTTCTGAGAGATAATCTCTTGCACGAAGGTCCAATGACGATTCCCTTTCGGCAGGTGAGCGAGGACATTGTGGATCTCAGCATCGCTTTGAACCAGGACCATTGATGTTTTAACAGCCATATGGAGGAACTGACTTCTGTGGAAGTGAGGTAAACAAACTGAGGACACTACATAAGCATCTTGCGCAGGCTTCTGTAATGACCAAAACGCTTTGAGAAATGCAACCACGGTTTCCTCAGCCTTGCCCACTCGGACAAAGCAATCCAAACGGTGGCAACGGCAAGGTTTTGCCAAAATGGCTTTCAATCTCGCTCGACTCATGCCGTTGGCCGCTTTCCTGAGATAAACTACAAACTTTTGCACACGATCCCCCAACAAAACCATACAGTACTCAGAAGATTGTTATGACCGGCAAGTTTCTTCCTACGGTAAGTCGGCAGCAGTGGCTTTGCAAAAGCTCTGTTCTCTGTCTCTTTGAACTGTAGGAGGCCAGGTAAATCAAAAGAGATTACATGGCTTGGCACTACAGGCTCGCTACTTGCAGTCCTAGGGGGGACAGATTCTTTGGGCGACTCCTTTGGAGTGTCTTTCAGCACTTGCCGAAGATACAGACGCCAGTCTGCCATTTCCCCCTTGAAGAAAAACGACAAATTTCCTCTGGCTTCATGTCTTGTTCCAGCATGACACGCCCCTCATATAAAATGAAACGCCCCTCAAATAAAATGAAACCAACTTATATATGGATTATATAGGTTGTTTTTTGTCTTTGGAGATGTTCCTGGTTGTGATTGTTTATTGTCCTCTTTTTCGTCCCCTTGAGCACTTGAAGGTGTTTGGCCTAGTCGGACGGATTCCCTTTTGGGACCGCGCAGTCCTGAGCTCAAGCCTCAGAGTAGTCACGGTGGAGCTGTTCACTTTCCAAGCTTTCCTTGTTCTTTTAGTTTTTGAGCTCTTCAAACATCAAAATAAAAAATTGAGCATATTCATTAAAGCATATTGTTTGTTTTTGGTGATTCCTGGGGGATTTGTCCGGCATGGTGGAATCCCTGTAGCTTGTGGAAACTACACCCAGCAGTGGCCTCTCCAGGCCCCAAACCCTTCTTGCTGCTGCTGCTGCTACTGCTGGACTTGCCTATTTTTGTTTTTTTAATTCTGCCTCTTACCTCGTCAGGTGAGCTCGCCATTATAATTTGCCCAGATTATTGGTAATTGCAGGTTTCTCCGGTTCTTATTCAAAACTGACAGTTCTCCAAGGCCCGCAATTCCTCAAAGATAGCTCCTAAACAAATTTTCAAGGTAGTAGACCAGGAAGGTCCTGATCCTTAATAACACAACTGCTTTAAGGGCTCTCAATTGTGCAATGTTGTTTTCCTCAGTAAAAATACAAAATGATCTCAATACTACTAAGAAATGGCTGGTTGGCTGGCTGAGAGTACTGTAGGTTTCTCAAGTTTCTTCTTTCAAACCGCATGGAACGTGAGAACTTCTTTGTACTTTTTTGTAGTATAAATAAAGGACTGCTGAGACAATATACAAAGAGCATGAAAATGGAACATGAATAAATTCAATCTATGAATTAAAAAGAGAGGAAAATGACTATATATATTACAATCTCTTGCAAAAGGACTCCTCCCAGGAATTCAGAATTTGGTAGTAGTTTATTATATGTTGTTATTATAGAAGACCTCCCATTTGTTTAGCTGAGGGGTGAACCGTGTGAACCCTCTTATAAAGGATCCAACATGACCATGCCTCCTTGACCACACCGGCCTCGCTCCCAAAGCCCGAATGCATTCAGCGGCATGGCCGCCAGCGCCGCGTCGAGCTCCGCCGGCCGCAGCGTCGCCGCCGGCAGCGTCGCTGCGCCGCCGAGGCGCGCGTAGAGCTGCAGCGCGTCGCGGCGGAGGCGCTGCCGGCGCTTGGCGCCGGGACGCCGCAGCGGTTCCTGGTGAAACGGGAGAAAAGACGGAGGCTTTCCATGTAGACACGCTCCTTGACTGGCATGGTTACCTACATTGGGGTGGCTTAGGCCATGGGTGTGTCTGGGCCATGTAGATTGGTAGGGGTGGTGGTGAAAGTTTCGGTGGCGTTCGGTAGGGCAATTCTGCGGAAGAGACCGACCTACTCAGTCCACCATGAACCTGAGCGTCAAACATCAGATCCGTTGATAAGGGCCGCGAACAAACATGTCATATATATATATATACCTAGAACCCATTTGACCTCTGTTTTGATAGGGAAAAAAACATCTTTGGGACTTTGGGTTGGTTTGTGGTCCAAAATAGAGGTCATTCAGCTTCTAGGTGTGTATATGGTGTATACGATATATACAACAGTAGCCACGCAAATCCGAAAGCCGCGCAAAGGAAGCCGATGATATACAACCTTTATGGAGCTGGGGGTGCACTCAATGTCTGTGCAAGTTCCATTCGTGATTCTTTAGACTCAAAGCCCCCAACCCTTCCTGCATGAGGTCCCAATCTGGCAAACCCAGCATGGGTGATGCTCGATCTCGCTTTGTCAGCTGGTCTTCGCCCATCACCTGGCGGTGGAACCCCCGGTGGGCACCGGTCGGGGGGCGAGCACATCGGTGGAACATCCTCGACAGGTTGATCAACAAAATCCATAAAAGTATGCATTGGGTCTATCCGTTCTTACCTGTAACAGTGGATGATGATGGTTCAGTTGCAGGCCTTGTTCAAAAAATGATGAGAATTGTTTACTGACTGCTACAGGTAAGAACGGACAAAATCCATGAAAGTAGTGCATGTCACCGGGGTACGACTGGGTGATGTACATGGATAACCAAATGGTTTTGGGTTATGCGACATGACTGAAAACGGTGATGATTTTGTGATCGAATGGTGATGGATCACAAATCACAGGGATTGAAAACAGTGTGGGGTAGACATCCAACACCAAGCCTCGACTCTACGCATGCTTCTGCGCACGGGTTTTTGTACACCTCATGCAGCCATTGGTACTTGCCAGAAGCCCCGGACAAACGCAGGGAGGGCCAATCCTTTCAAACACCTCGAAACGAACAGATTTGCCGAAGTTGAAAAAGAGATGCATGCAGCAAAGTCAAGATCCCCAAAGCAAAAGAAATATCAAGCAAACAGCAAGCATGTACGTTGTATAATGAAGGTCATGTATGAGCGTTAAGTCTAAATCAACGGAAGCAGCAGCATCGCAGTGCAAAACAACACTGTTCAAACTTTCTTGCAGTTGCTACAACCTCATTTAGTGAAGTTCATCTTCAAACTTGCACTTATTAATATATTATCGCTTTTGCGTGCTTACGTACTGTTCACCTTCTTCAGTTGAGGAAAATAGGTCGGTTCTTGTTCACTGAGAGTTGCTTTATCGTGCTTTGCCTTTTCCAGCTGTAGCTCTTTGGCTCACTTCAATGTCCCGACTCACTGTACCTTGAAAAGGCAATGGGATTGAGAAGAACTTGCAATTCTGGGCTGTCCAAGACCTTGCGTAGTTTCAAAAGTCAGTACCCTCCTCTTGCATGGTGATCAAGACTTCAAAAATCTTCAAAGTAATTACATAGCTTCACAACAAGCTACCCTCCGCAATTGGCTTCGGCATGGAAAAGGGCACCAAGTCTTGCAAGCAACGGGTATACTATCAAATAAGGCATCACCGGCCATCTTTCTCTTCTTCGGTCCCGAGTGTTAAAGAAAATCACCCCCAGTGAAGTGCGTGAAAACACGTGCGGATACAGAGATCGCAGCCAACGCATGGTCCGCGTGGTCAATGTCGACAGAGATCTGCAGCTTCACTGGCTTCACTCCCCCAAAAAAGACGACTACAAATAGAGAACAAAAGACCAACATAGAACCCAAAAACAACAACAAACCAACAAACAAACCAACAAACAAACCAACCAACCAACCAAACAAACAAACAAACAACAACATATTGAGAAAGAGATTCACGTGGCATCCTCTCAGTCTCTCAGGTGGAACATGCCATGCTGCCGGCACCATGATGCGCCTGCGATTCTGTCAAACAGAACTCTTGCATGAACACATAGCAAGTCTCAAAGGTGAACACCGTGCAGCCATGAAGACGCAGCCGGACAAACCAATCACAGCCGGACCAAACCCAGTGAGCAACGGTATTGAAGCACGACCTCTTCAAGCAAAGAATGCCACGATGCTTGTAAAAAGTCAAGAAGATTCTCGATACCAAGCCAAACCGTAAACTTCCAGCAACGAATCCAAAATACATCAAAATACTAGAGGTGCACCTGAAACCACCTTTGAAGAGAGACCAGTAAATCCCCCGGACCCTCAAAACACCTACACTAGCAGCTGCTCTAGAGGGCTGAGCTTCCACGTGGTTGCGGAAAAAGGGAAACAGGTTTGAAAGTCACTGACAAAACAGTTCGTAGAGCATCAGTCGCCACAACATGTCAAAACGCGTGCGCAGGGGAACAACATATCATCTGTGGTGAAAATGAACACGTATGCCCACGGAGCACATGCCATGTTTACCCTCCACCACCACCACCACTACCACCACCCACACTCTTCATCCATCCATATGAGTACGTCAGTGAACCCAACGTGAATTCGGACAATCCCACTGGAAATGCAGAGAAAACAAAAGACATTTGAGAATGATGTGGTAGAAGTAAATGGGGTATTTAACATTATTTAACAACATGTTCACTGCGATCACGAGTGATTTAGACAAATGCGCACGACTAGTAGTCGTACAGTTTTCTAGCCCTTGGCAAGAAAGTCCGAAGTGAATAGATGTCAGACTAAGCTGCCCGTTATCTCACCCTAGGGCTCCAACTACCTCCTGAGAAGGTGGTTAGGGTGGGTGCCAATCTCCACACCTTTTTGGACCACCCTTCTCGCTCAGACCTCGAGAGTAGTGGCTGAGGCCGCAAAAGCCTGGCAGTCAGCCCTACTGGTGGCCCGAATTCGAGCGGTGGTCACCACTGACTGCATGGTGTTCTGATGCTCAAAGAGGGAATGGATATGAATGATATGAATGGAACCCTAAGGGGCAAGGATCTCATTTGCGACACCAAACTGTGCCTAGATCGGACTCACTTGCGACAGCAAATCTGACTCATGGGCGACGCAACATGGGTCATTGCTGCACTTACTCCAACTCCATGGGAACGTCGTGATGGAGAGATACGCTGCGTCAAATACCGAGCATCCGCGTCATATCCGAGAAGAACGATCATAAGACCCGCGTCACATCCAAGTCCGATTTCCATCGCAAGGTATCTCTAGTGAGGAATTCATGCATATCATTCATATCTGTTCCCTAAGTTCATATCATCCATTCTGTCATTCCCTTATTCTGTCACTGAGCACGCGGTGACGTTCAAAGGGACGCGGTCGGTCATTCCGGATCCGACCGTTCCAGTGGTCGGCTGGGTGCCATATGGTAGTTGGTGTAGGTGCGATCGACGACGGAGGAGCAAGCCGCGAGCCGTACGCTGTAAGCGATACCAATACCTTATAGATCCTTATAGTCTGTGTGGCCCAGAAAACAAATATTATGCCAACACAGGCCCTGATTCGAACACTGTGTCGAGGTTTTTTGAAGAACTGCTCTGGCACTAAAAGGATTTGTCTCAAGAGGAGACCCCAAACTGGTAGATCTTGGCCCGCACCATTTAGGACGCGGGCCTTTGGCAGCAGGCCTCCTTACTTGGCCCTGCTTTCAAACAAATTATCAATGAAGGAAGGCCTTCGTTCTCTTCAGGGACTGAAGGCCTTCGGCCCCCAACTACTGCAGCCAAATGAAGGAAACTAGCGCGGCTGTGCACGCAAAGAAACCAGTATGGTTTGGAGGATCATCTCTCTGTAGATCAAGAATTTATGAATGAATGTATATTTACGAAAGGATAGTCTTAGACGAGTAGTCTTGCAGAATTGGCTAGATAGAAGTCTTTCCACAAAACCAAGAATGTACCTAGCAGAATCAGTTCCCCCAGACGGATCAGTTCCCCCACACGGATGCCACCTACTCAGCACAGGAACTGCCAGAACGGGACATGAGTGGGTTGACCCCAGCTGCGGACGCTGCGGACGAGAAGCATGTAGAGAGATCAACAAGGCCACGTTGTCCCGAACCTGCCATGAGGTCGACAGGTTCAAAGGTCGACAGGTGACGGCCAGTGATGTCGGACCCGCAATGGCTATCCGATGATGCGCCTCCATGACTATTGGATTGAATCCTTCGTAGCAGAGGTTTGTACATGTTTGTACCGAAGAGTTCAGAACCCTTTGTGTGTTGAGGGCGCAAATCGTTAGGGTAGGAGCAATTCGATTGAGCACATGAAAATTCATATGATGGGTGTATGATGCGAAACATGACCTCCGCCATTTAGATGGTTGCCACCTGAACCGTGTTGATGTGTTAGGTTCAAACGGCATGGCTCCAAAACCACAGACCCCGCGACATCCTGGAGGTGCACTCAGAATTCCCAAACAATCCATATACGTATGGAATATTGGCCTACATTGGGACGGTTTTGAAGATGTTTTCAGGGTCAACGTAGGTAAATATTCCATACATATGTTGTGGGGCAGGTGGGGCCCCCTATGATTGAACCATCTTTACAAGAGTGTCTGCCAAAACCGCTGAGCAGCAAAAGCAACATCAACTTAAGGTTCTCGCCTTTGGATGAGGGCCACTTGCCATGTGTTGGTTTTACTGGCCTTTTTGCCAAATGCCTCTCCCACGCTCTTGATTTACGCTTTGATGTGATGAACCCATATGAACCCTATGTCCAAAACAGTTGCGGAAAATAAAAGACATGTGAGAAAAGAACAAGTACAAGAAGGTCCGAAGATGTCCCAAGTCTGGCAGGCAAATGATTGGTTCCTGCGTGTGACTGAAGAGATCCTGCCAACATCTGGATTCATCGGATCCGCTGGGTTGGTCACAAGCAGGTGGGTAACAGGTACCAGATGTTGAATGTGGATGCGATGGAAGACAAAATTGCAAATCACATGTGGCCGTAGGTTAACCAGTTCGGAAAAACACGGAAAGCGGAGCAGCATTTCGGTCATACTTCCAAGCGCTACAGCGCTTTCCGTCAACAAAAAAAGGGAGACCCTGGTCGACCACCGAAAATGAACATGAAGAATTATCACCACGAAATAGGGCCACTAGGGTCAACTTGCCAGAGATTAGGCTCGGGGTTTTCACCCACTGTCATGTTGAAAGAAACTGAGCCAACACCCAGGAGTCCGCTGGTTTGATGGCCAACCATGGTAAGCGATTTTCCGTGCGCCAGCGACCATGGGCTCACCGTCGGCTGATCTCGAGTGCCTCGGCTGAGACCTTCTTCTGCTCCTCGAGGCCTTGCAACAGGGCGCACTCGAATTCGTGCTTGGGCCCATCCGAGCGGCGGCAGGCGTCAGAGCACCACGTAGAGCCGCAGCTCGAACCTGGAAGCAGGGCGGAGGGCGGGAGGCCGGATGAGCATGCGGAGAGGTGGGCGGAAAACAAGTCAACAGCATCAGAATCACAATCAAATCACTCTATGCCTCTATAGTGGTGGTCAATCAGAAATCCCGTGTATAGTTGGATAGTCTTGGTTGGAAAGAAGAATGGTCTAGCTCTGAATTGGTTTCTGCCAAAGTTACAAGGCCTGGAGGAGTTACGAGGCCATGTCTGTCCTGTTTGAACCGTGGCCTCCGGACCGGTGACCGTTGGTCCGCCTAGCTATGTGAGAGCTGCTTGATTTCCAAGCCTTGTGAGCTAACTGAGACGTCTCCCGCCACCAAGGGTCTTGATGCCCAATAACTGTGAACATACCGAATACCCTGAAAAAAGCCTCTCTTCATCTCTCTGCACTTCCTCTGTGGCTGACCCCCCAAAAAAAGCAGTGACTCGGCAGTGACTCATCTGAACCGGGCGGAAAGGGGGTCCAGTCCCAGAACCTTGTGAGGGTAAAGACTGATGATGCTGGGATTTGCATCAACTCTTCCCGGGTCCAGCTACCTCCTTTTCAGATGGTCTTGAAGGTGACAGTACTTCTGAACGATGAATGGTGCCTCGGGTGCCTGAAACAGGACCTCCGAGGAGCTGCTCAGATGCTGGACCCTTAGGCCCGAGCAGGCATGTTTCAAAGCCTGGTAAAGACCAGGAAGAAACCGTTCCATGTTGGAATCAAGAAGGGAGACGTCGTGAGCCGTAGGTCTAGACGTCGGGCGACGTCTGGAAAATCTCCGGTCCGAACGAAAGCAGCGGAGCCTGACTGGTGGGAACACCATTCAACGGACTGGTGCTTAGTAGGGAATGAGATGGAATGAGGGATTTTGGGTTCCAGATGTCTCAGACCCTCCAGGGGTCACCCCCATTCTAGACCCTAGTAGTTACTAGTTGAGGGTATTTTTGCTCCAGATCCGGAATCTCTATTGGGGGTTCATTCCCGAGTCGCACCGGATTGTGAATCGTTCCTGGGGTGCGAAGAAGAGCCCTGACACGACCTGTTTGGGACTGACATACATTGGGGTGGTTGAAGTCAGGGCCAATGGGGCGGTAACTATTCCCAGAGCCCAGCGTCTTAAGTCGCTGAATGGGGCAGAGAGAAGCAATTCAACCTTAGTGATCCTGACCGGAGTGGAAAAGGTATTTGCTGACCCTAGGGCTCCAAGTACCTTCTAAGAAGGTGTTTGGGGTGGGTTTAAAGGGTCCAAATACCTTCTGAGCAGGCACTTGAAGCCCTAGGGTGAAGCAAGGTCCAGCATTTCAAGGTCCAACCTCTTGGCGCCGCCGCGTACGGCCAAGGCGTGGCGCTCCCGGAACATGGGAGTTCGCCATTCTCCCGCTCCAGTGGGGGTTCGCGCGCTGGAAGACCAAACAACCTCCCATCCAAGCTATGGCCAGCGAGCACTTGTTGGAATTCAAGCGGCACTGGTAGGGCCAGTCCTCCTCGCTGCTGCTCAAACACTTCCTTGATGCACGACACGCCATACGACTCGTTGATCAGCGATGGTTGAGGTTCAAAGCTGAGTCGTTGATCGCCAGAGCTGATGACGGAGATAGCTCAAGAAGCAGAAAGTGGAGTGCGCAAGAAGTTGTGGCCATGTTTCAACAAGAAGACCCAGCCAAAAAGTTGGCGTGGGTTTGTCCCCAGGTTTGTTGCAATGATGTTTTTTCCTTTAGCATACTTCAAGCCATACGGCAACAAATGCTGTCACAAAGTGCGGCAAAAAAAACTGGCAGGCGATTGACTTCCTTTTTACTTGGAACAGTCCTTTGAGGCTGTCAGGGGGGGGTGGATCGACAAGGCAATTCTTTCTGATCCAAGTATATATCCAAGTCACTAATTTTAAAATTACCTCTAGACGGGACTATCCATCCACTGCTGATGACCCTCAACTTCGCCCAGCTACGTAAACAGCGGTTCAACTCCATACCACCCACCAAAATCACCAAAACCATCCAACATACCAGGTGTCTCCCATCTGAAAAGGCCAAAAAACCATCCCAAAACAGAAAACACCGTCAAGTCAAGTCTCCGGCACCGCAGCCCTTTGGCATGCTTCCGTATCGCCACCATCACCGGCGCCGCTTGGAGCGTCCTCTCGCCCTCGGCAAAGCCTCTTCGTGCGAAGAGGCCCCGGCCCGCGTGGCGCGTGGCGCGGAGCTCCAGCGACGCCGGCAGCGGCTCCATGCACGCAAGTGCGAAGCGGCTGTGGCGGTCGGTCAGAGTGGGAGTTGTAGAAGAGGATCATCTATAGCGAGTGTTTGGTTGTGCGAGTGTTTTGTTTTGGGAGTGTTGGGATGATAAGAACACCAAGAGACTCAAGATCAGCGGTTCGAACATCTACATCCTTGCGACCCACCTTCGTGTAGTTCATGAGGAAGGATAGAACGGGGTGGTCCCAAAGGTGGCAAAACGTGCTGGCATGTCACTGGACCGATTTTGCAATGGGCAAAACGGGACTGGAAAGCTCTGACAAAACCAAAGTGGTGAGTTTTTTTTCATGTGGTTTGATCTTTTCTGATTTGAAGACGATGTTTCAGGATCAAAACATATCACCAATCATATGTGATACTATGTTGATATTGCTTTCCTATTCACCTCCAAACGCCGGAACGACCCCCCACCGACCGGACGACCGGTCACCGGACGGGCAAACCTTGGACGACCGGTGACCGGGTTGTCACCGACGGGACGCGGCCGGCGCAAGCGACCGGTCGGGGCGACCGGACGGTTGGACCAACGAAGCAGCCATATATATATATATATGCACCCATATATATACGATATATATATATATATATACGATATATATATATATATAAACACGACCACAGTTTAGTTTTTCCACGCGTTGCAGAAAGTTTGTCTACAAAATCAACGAACTCA